TGATTTCTTCAGTATAATAATTAATTGTCAACTTTCTGAGTATTTCAATTTTATATATAGTGACAGACTAATGACAGTTTGCTAAAATTTCACAAATTTTAAAGTTTGCCAAATTTTCAAATATCTTAATGTTTGGCGAATTAGAATAATAGTGAAAAAACTATAATTTTTAATTAGCTTAAATTAGATATATTAATTCCCTCAACTATAGATAATATAAATATTTTAATAAATATTTAATTGAATAATTTATAATTTTATATTATTTTCAATTGTGATTATCTTATGGGTATTAAAAATAATTTGCCTAAAATTATCTTTACCAAATTTGTTGAATGCCGAAACAGAAAATGAACAATTTACAAAGATCAAAATAAAAACATAGACTCACATAATTTGAATAATTGTAATTAAAATTTGTAGAAAACACTTTTTGAATATGCTTATTTAGGTATTTTATGATTTATGTAATAAGTTGTATTGTTTTTGAATTGATCAATAAATTGTTGTTTAACTTAGACTTGTCACTTAGCACATAATTTCAACATTTTGTTGTTGTCAATCACAAATTTACGACCGTTATTTTATTTAATGTGGTCAATTTGACAATAACTTGTTTTAACCTTTAACACTGTTTTAATAAACCATTTTATGTTACATTTTTTAAAAACATTTAAATTAATGTTTAACCCTCAAACATAAAAACTATTGTTTATATCTTATGTACACATTTTTGTGAGCATATGGTAAAAACCAGAAATTGTTGCAAAATGTGAAATTATACTAATATTTGAATTAAAATTTAAAGTTGGGTTTTATGTTACAATACTACAATGTAAAAACACCTTTTATTTTTTGAACACTTTTTTGAAATGTGGTTGTTAATGGTAAACCTTTTATGCTAGTTGTTGTTATAAAATCAAAATTAATAATCAAATGATGATGTCTTTATCTAGCTTTTTTATCGATATTTTAATATTATAAAAAACATGTTTAAAATGTGTGTTGTTAGTAAAAAATAATAAAACAACAATTAAATTGATTGTATATAATATCTCGTTTATATTAATTATCAACAAATAGTTGTTTAAACACGATTGAGTTTATTGATGTAATTACATTTATAAAGTGATCACAATAGTTAAAAATGTTTTTTGTTGTTTCAACAAAATGGTGGTAATTATTCAAATGTAACAATCAATAATCAAAATTATATTGTCATACACAACTGATATTGAACTGTAAAATATATTCAACAATTTTATTTGGTTTCAAAACTTAATAATATAAGTAAAATATTAATTTAAATTTTTATCATGTTGACTAATTTGTTGTGTGAATAATTGAAAACGTTGTTATTTATTGGTTGAGTTAACCATTATTTAACACAATATGATAACAAAAAAATATTACCAAATTTATTTTAAATTCAAACAAACTTTATGTGACAATAAAAATTGTTTTTTGTAAACAGTTTTTCAAATTGTTAGTGGTGTTATTAAATACATTA